GGAGCAGCGCATGAACCGAACGCAACACACGCGAATCGAACCGAACGGTTCGGACGGTTTTCATAAACCGTTTCATCCCTAATTTCCAGGCAACATATTGTTATTTTTTATTCTAATTAAAACTAATTAAATTTCACAGCATTACATGTTCAAGTAAAGGAAACTAAAATATTTTACATTTTATCATCAGTTGTACTTTCTATTTTTGGAAAATAACACATTTGACTTTGTGGGCATTAATTTTATGAGAAATTGGGTAAGAGGGGTAGACAAGTCAAAAAAGGTTGGTAACCACTGCCGTATGTGTCAGGTTTATTTCATGATGATTATAAAATGAATGTGTGTTTATGAATCATTTGTGCAAGAGGGACGCTGCACCGTGTCTTGTGATGCAGTCAGGAGACCATCTTGCCTTGTCATTCTGATGGAGCATATTGTCTTTATGAACTTATCAATTGTTCTGTCAGAACAAATACTGTTTGGTAATCATATGCTATGCTCTGTTAATAAAAGACGGCTGCAGGAGGGGATTCGGCAGAGGAAAGCTTGAAGTTGGGTTGGGCTTTTCCTTCCACTCCTGCAGAAGCTGTTTGAACCTCTTTCCTGTGCAGACTCAATTTCTATTTATTTGCAAATCTACATTTCCTAAATCCAACAGTATGCAACAGTCGTTACAGAGATAAATAGATTTTAAAACCTTTAGTTTCTTCTTAACATTTTGATTGTCACTGTGACCAGTTTGCCTGATTGATGAACTCAGTAAAGGTGGTTAAACACAAACATGTTCAGATAAAAATTTTCTACAGGATCCTGTATGAATAATTCTGACTCTGTGCGGATCACATCTAAACAAGTTCCTTGTTTTTAAATTTAAAAAATATCTAAAACATCTGATGAATTGTGATGCAAAAGATGAGGGAATTATAAAGTTCTCACCATCTCTGCATCTTTACATCCTAAATCCATCTGTTCCTCTCAAATACTCACAAGTCCAGCGGGTAGAAGAAAAGAACGAGGTATTTGCCCTTGAAGTCAGCCAGACTCAGGTCCTTGAACTCCCCGTTGTGGACAGCTGTGGCCTTAAAGTCAGGAGCCGGCTGAGTGACGGCAGGGGCCCATCTGGAGGTGCCTGATAAACACAAGTCAAACGTCTCTTACTGGTTTAATCAGTGGAGGCTGTAGATTTCTCCAACAGCTTTGTTCTCCTCTTTGGACAAGCATCAGAGGAAGGCGCTGGTCGGTTTTGGGCTAGAATCAGCGACAGGTTTGAATAAAACAGCAGAGAAATTTTGATTTGCAAAGAGCTGCAGTATCTGATGCATAGAAAAATCCCTCTTGCACAGCAGCTTCTAGCTAGAAAACTGTTTATAAAATTAAAATAATTACAGATAAGGATTTTTGCACCATTTTAGAATAGCTAGTACAAGAGAAATAAAATACTTAAACCTGTATTTATACACCACTTTTTTTTTTAACACCACTTTTTTTTTTAAACAGTCTTTGCTGTGTTTGTACAAAAATAAAGAATTTTAGAAAACTCAAAATAAGGAAAATGGCAGCTAAATAACAAAACTATTAAAACTAGGGATGCAC